ACGCTAGCTATCATCCAATAACAACAATAAAACACATACCGAGTTGGTGTGGTTGGGACATGTTATGCGATTCAGCTCAGCGTGCCTTCGCGGCTCTCCACCACAAAATGCATGTTGCATACCCACTACGATCGAACAACAGTAAAAGAAACGTGACAGATGCATATTCAGGAGGACGAAGTTGTATTGCCTTTGCGGAAGGTAAGGAATATACAAAGCAAATTTCCCGCACAATTTGCAAGTTATAAGTTTTTGAATGCTCAGTCACAAAGCCAAGACCTCGAGTGATGATTCATGTGCACGCTACGCAGTTTCCTGATACCTGCTACAAGCGTCAGGTGTACGTGCACTGCAAAGAACCATCGTACCAGGCAGAAAGTATCCTATAAAATACAAGAACTTCGATATTCCGTCAATTCACTAGAAATGATTTGACATAAACCAGAGAATCTAATTAATAATTGCTTAGTGCGATCACTGCAGTGTTCCTAGTTCCAATGTAGTGCTGCGTAATATGAACCGCAGCATGTCAACTGCAGCCGTCTGTGCACGGCAGAAATTTGTTTTAGAATGAAAAATTCAATGGCGCCACAACAAAGCACAGCTTTCATGCAATGTACACAACCAGAAATTCATTTTAGTTCTGAATATTCTTTGCATTTCCCGGGTGATGCTTGTTATGTTGCATCTTGTCGGTCCATGCAACGGCAGGTCANGAATATTCTTTGCATTTCCCGGGTGATGCTTGTTATGTTGCATCTTGTCGGTCCATGCAACGGCAGGTCAACCAGGCGTTCCGTTTGTTTCTGTCCCACGTCTGGCGGATTGTAGCAGCAAATCAATGAATTCGTTCCATTCTCCTTTCTTCTAGTTCAGATAAAGAATACTTCTCACAGTTAGTTAATTTTATGCAGGAAAATACCTTGGAAACTAGCCCGATATGCAAATGATTTCAACGACTACTACTCCGTGTGCCTTGCATGCTGCATGCTGGTAGATGGGCTGCTGGCCCTTCAAGTGTACGACCATCTGAGCTGCTTTGACTCCGTTAGCCAGAAGTAAGTGCTGCATTGAATCGCAGTTGTATTTAAATTCGTCTCTGCACCGACAGTGGCTGGCAAAGGCTGCCACGAGCTACGAGCCAAGCAAACAGTGGCCATTCCGATGCGCCGAAGCCGTCCCAGGCCGACGCGCTCAACCGTCCGAGTGTACCCTTATTGATGTTTTTATACCTGTATAGTTGCTTCTGTTCTGCATCAGAAGACGCTCTGTGTGGGAATCTGTGCTCATCTGCTCCGGTGAACAACCAACAACCCCGTTGACCCGGGGAGGCTGGACTGACTTCGCTGCATAGCACATATCAAACACAAATCTGTAATATTGCATAGAGCAAAACGTCTCATTTCTCAAGGACTGTTTCCNTAGCACATATCAAACACAAATCTGTAATATTGCATAGAGCAAAACGTCTCATTTCTCAAGGACTGTTTCCGGGGTCACTGCGTTTGCGCAGCAGCAGCAGCAGCAACGAGAGCAACCGCAGCCGGGGGAGTCTGAGCTGGTGGCTAACAGCTAACAGGGCCTCATCTTTCACTTCAGTCTCTCTCAGTGTTATCTGCATGGGCTTCTGAAACTGAACATGGCTGTGTTGTCTGACAAGGGGTTGACGTGCAGCAACTCCTTGTGTAGGCAGCGCGACTTCCTCCCATTCACTTGCAACAAGTGCGGAAATGTGGTAAGATATAATGTAGATGTACATGTATATGTGAAACTGCATGTCAAAAATATATATGTGTATGTGTCTTTACCTGCAGTAGAGTAGTGTCTCAGGTGCAGCAGGTGCAGCAGATTCAGCTGCCGCTGCTGCACTGCATTGCTTGCTGTCTGCTGCTCGACGATGAATGCTCCTCTCCACAGTGTTCAATCTTTTCATTCTCTTGTGCTTCAGTTTCACGTAGCTTCTTTGTTTGCTTTTCAGGTTTGTTCAGTTTCTTTGTTTGTTTTTCAGTTCTGTTTAGAGCACTACGTACCAGATGCCCATTCATGTCCGAAGAAAAATGCC